AGTGATGGAGAATCCACCACTTTCCTATGATAAGTGTTCCAATGGACAACTTTGACCCTCACTTTATTGTCTATGTTCTGCTTCCAACCATAGTCTCTCAGGGTATGTCTTCACTACCGGCCGGATCGGCGGGCAACGATCGATCCAGCGGGGATCGATTTATCACGGTCTAGTCTAGACGCAATAAATCGATCCCTGAGCGCTCTCCCATCGACTCCAGTACTCCAACTCGGTGAGAGGCGCAAGCAGAGTCGATGGGGGAGAAGCAGCAGTCAACTCACCGTAGTGAAGACACCACAGTAAGTTCATCTAAGTATGTCTACTTCAGCTACGTTATTCACATAGCTGAAGTTGCGTAAGTTAGATTGATTCCCCCCCCCCCCCCAGTGTAGACCAAGCCTCATTATGCCTTTTATAACCATAGGATTAAGCCTACTATCCCCAACATGAAGGGAAGAAAAGCAGGTGCTGGTGAGAGAGGTGGGAGGACCACCACTAGTATGGGACAACTAATCCCCGGTAGTTGTGAAGGGGCGGAGTTCCAGAATTCCTGTGCCAAGATCCTGCTTGAAATCTCCATCTTGGTTATCAGCCTCTGGCCAGTAGGTACCTGAAATCTAAGAGTTCCTTCTCTCCCCCCACCAGTTGCTGGAAGAGTTCTCCCCTTCACCCCCCAAGCTCCAGAGCCTCTTCACTGTTTGGTGAGTGGGATACTTAACCTACTTTCTACCTCTCTCCTAGCCCCCCGGCTTCTGCAAAGTGGAACGTAATGTTTCTTCTCTACTTTTCTCCAGCCTTCTTTTTTTTTCCCCCCAGATCCATCTCCCACAAATGCCAGTAACTGCCTTTACTCAGTTTTGTCAGAGGCAGTGTGAAATTGTTGATTTTTGCACAGATTGATGGACTAGCTCCACTTTCACCAGGGAAAGCTGCCCCTGAGCTGTTTGGTGAGTAGGCAAATAGAATTTCCAGTAAATGGACATCTGAAGGAGCTATAGACTGGGTAATAAAAAAAAAAAAAAAACCAAAACAGATTTTGTGTATGCATTCATAAGTGGGGTGTTGATTTTTAAAAAATCATGGTAAAATTGTATTGTAT